GAAGATATAACAACTATACCTTTTTGAAGTTGTTACAACAAGCAAACGGAAAGGACATTCTTGGGGGGGAGGGGAGAGAGGGAGGAGGGGGGGAGGTGTCGGTGATGGGCCATAATAATCATATACATTGTATATTGACAAAATAAAAATTTAATGGAAAAAAAAAAAGAGGATAACATAAAAAGGAAAGATTTGAAACTAAATTAGATACTTGGCCCCTTAACAACCCTGGAGCAAAAAAAAAAAAAAAAAACTATAGACTAAATTTTAAAGTACATAGAGGGGTTTAGGAATTATCAGTGCATTTAAATGTTTACCCACTCAACCAACTGAATAAATAATAGGTGAAAATGAAGTAATATTTTACTGCTTACAATTTCTGACCTCTCAATAAATTCACACTCTTATTATTTGCACGTACTGTTATTTTCTATAAAAATATATAGAATTGCAATTTCACTTTTCAAGGCAGTCACAACTAGCTCAAGAAAAAAGTTCAAGTTTTTTTCAGATAATGGATTCAAAGAAATGATTATCTTTTTAAAAGAACTAGCCAAAGAAAAAGATGAACATGTAACATCAATATAAATACATATAAATAAAAATAAAAACATAAATATCAAATTATAAATATTTGAAGGCTTCCTGTATTTTTCCAATTATTAACAGCTAGTGTTTAAAAAAATAGTTTATACCCTTCATTTATTCCAAAAACAAAACAGGCAACATTCTATATAAAAGCTCTCAGTGACAGAACAGAAAGAAAAAAATACTTCAAACTTTCCAACTTTTGGTATACAACTCAAAAAAAAAGAAAATGTAAAGACCAGAAAAAGGAGTAGAGAGATCAGGTGTGATACACTTTTAGCAGATACATCTTGTATTAAAAAAAAAAAAAAAAAAAAATGACAAAAAAAAAAAAATTAACCCTTGACTTGGTGTTGTCAGCACCACGCTCTCCCAAGTGAGCCACGGGCCGGCCTTTAGCAGATACATCTTAATATTACTTAAGAAAGACTCTCAAATTGAGAGATGTAACTAAACGCCCCAGTGTTTCCATTTTTAGCCGTCACTATCCCCCGTTAAAAATCAGCTTACAAAAGGAAAAACAAGTCTTCAGTTACAACTCATTTCAACTAAATGGGGTCCAATACTTTATTTTAAGGAATCCTTATTGTATATACTTCCCTTAAAAGACATTACTGTATGGCAATCTACTTACTGTTTTCACAATCTTCATACCTAACCAGTAAACCTTTAAATTTTCCCTAAAAAAAAAAAAAAAGATGGGCTTTGCATTTTATTTCAATAAAACACAATATGTAAATGTGAACAAATGTTGTCTTTTAATCAAATCAAACACATTAGTCTCATGGCCAGTAACCATTTTGTAAATAAGAAAGGCTCTTTTGCTAATTATCTGTGTGACCTTGGTCAAGTCATAACTCCCATGTCTTCATTATTTCATCCTGCTCCATAATTTTGTAATTCTAAATGACTTAACTAACAGCCATTTAACAACAGATTTTGTTTTAATTAACCCAAAAGGTAACAGGCCATGAACACTAGAGTCCATAAATAAGCACAGGTGGTTGTAGCCCAGTGTGAATAAAGAGGTTTCTATACCCACAAAGATTGTTCCTAATCCAGCTTGTTATTTCACAAATCCGGATTCTTTTGGTACAAGGCAACCAGGCAAGAGAGCGGAAAAGGCTCAGCACCTTCTGTTACTAACGCTGGAGGGAAAAAAAAGCATTCCATTCCCAACTGACAATGTCTCGGGCGTTTCATACTAGTATACGGCTAATACATAAAACGATATTCTTTAAACAGAGCAATGTTGTGAAAAGAAAAAAAATAATATCTTTCTTCTTGTAAGTCAAGAAATCATTCTGGATCCTTTCGAAAACTACTCCTCTCTTCTGACAATTCAAGTTGGTGGAAACTTAAACAAAACACTTTACCAGTTGACACATGTCTCCTAAAAGAAACGTCAGTTCTCTTTTTCTTCCTCTTGTCTAATGACCAGCTATTTAGAGAAAGCCTTTCTGATGACTATAATTATACCAAGTTCTTAAGAACCAGCAAATAACAAAAACCTTCGAATGTTTAACTACCATGATTTTCATTTTGCCCACCACCTATATTGGCCTATTTGAGTCATAAATTCTAAATCAAAGATCAAGCTTAACAATATGCTCCACTTTAAGATATTCAAGGCCAAAACAAACACATTCAGAATCTATTTTTAGAGTGGCATTCGCCCTTCCGGTTTTCTCTTTAAAAAGAGACTTACTTGACCTATTTTCATGTGTATTTAGAGCACCCAGACACTCAACACTAATATTTGCTAGTCGTAAAACGGCAAAGCCAACATTACATTATTTGTATGGGTCATTTTCTTCATGTGTCCTAATATGCCACGTCTTTTAAAAGTCTAAATACAGATTAATTTACCAAATGCCCTAAGACTTCCAAATTCTGTAATTATATTGTGCTTTCAAGGCCAATGTCATACATTCACATCCCATTTGTAAAGTATACACACGGGGAGGCCGGGGGAGAGGGGGCCGGGGTCCCAAGCACCTGAAGTGTCAAGCGTACAAAGAACAAAGCGTTCTCTATCATTCTTGGCTTTCTTCTCCCCTCAGTTAGTTCTACACTGTTTCAATATTACTTAAACAAAATGTTCAAACTTGTGAAATAAGTGCTCACTAAACTGGCACTCAGAGAAAAAAATTAAAATATATACCAAAATGATTAACAAGAAAAAAGCCTAATTGCCAGAATTTGTGTTTAAACTTCCATACAGCCCTGTAGTTTACCTGTGCAGAGGACGGTTCCATCTCCACACATTCGAAAACAATCTTACAGCCTTTCTCCAGAAGCCGCAGGAGAATTAAACAGCGACAACAATGGAAGACCCGCACTCTTTCAGACGGGATGGAGGGTAGGGAGAGAGCTCCGCACCCGGCAACCGGAAGAACAAAGCAACAGCCTCGGCTTTCAAGATGCACAGAGGCTGGGGAGGCTCGACGGGTATTCTGAGATCTCTTAATTGTTCCGATGCTTTAACAACCGTCAAAACAACTATGAATATGCAGCGCTGGGTTTTACCAGGGCAGGGTGGACGGCTTGCTCTCCACGTATTAGTCAAGCCCCAAACACTGAGCCGAAGGAGGAGGAAGAGAGGAGAGAAAGCAGTAGCCAAAGACACTCCGGGTCAAGATAAAATGCAGGGACTGCATGCTCTAGCTCCGAGCTGACCCAAGGCCCAAAGTGCTTGACTCCACACGGTCACCAGGGGGCAAGTTACCCCCCAAACCATCGCCGTCCCCTGGCAGAGGACTGACACCACCGCCGAGGAGGACAGGGACCTGGCTGCCACCAAAGGCGGCGACACGGCACCCGCTCAAGAGGCTGCGCCGTAATGGCCGCTGCTCAGCCTCTCGCACCCCGACCAAGACTAGCTCCGACCGTCGCCCAGGGCACGGGCTGCGGCGGCCGCGGGCAACGCAGAGGCCGTCACAGTCTTCTTGCCTGCGACAGTAGCCAAAGCGGGGGCGGCGGAAAGGGCTCAGCCGTCCCATCCCGCCTCCGCCCGGACAGCCGGAGCCGCGCCGGCCCGAGGGCGTCCATCTACGTACCGGCCCCTGACCCCGCCGCCGCCCCTCTCAGGCCCCGAGCGCAGGGCCGACCCAGAGAGTGTCGCGGCTGGACGTGACACTGCGGGGCTATGCCTCCTCTCCCCGAGTCAGGATCCCGGAGTGGCCGACTTTCACCCTGCCCCCCGGGAGGGCTTCGCCCTGACTCCCACCTCTCTGGCTACAGCCTCGGCCACCTCGCAGTCTTTTTTTCTTCGGCCTCGGAACCCGCAGCGGCCGGGGACGCGCGCGGCCGTCACGTGACCGCCCGGCGCGTCGCGGGGGCGGGACCGCGCGGGACGCGTCGACCTCTGTCAATGCCTGCTCCCATCCCCTCCCTCTGGTGTTGACCCCAAGGGCACTCTTTAGCCAACATCCTGCATCCCCTGGTCTGCTTCTCAGGAACCCAATCTGCAGCACCAAGATGACCCAGCTAGTCCATGCAGGGGCTGGTTTTCAATACAAGTCGTGTGGGTTTGAAGGCTCACCTGTAACCACTGTTCTGTCCAGTCCGCCTCAGCTGGGAAAATTAGAATCAACCCCAAGGAGAAGGACAGGAAGCAGGGGAAATCCTTTACTTTATTATTATTTTTTTCCCTTTTTTGTCTTTTTTTGTGACCAGTAACAGGATCGCAACCCTCGGTGTCGCGCCCGTACCGCGACCGGCAACGGGATCGCAACCCTCAGTGTCACGCCCGTACCGCGACCGGCAACGGGATCGCAACCCTCAGTG